GTCAGCACCTTAAGCTCAGTCACCTTTGGTCTCTGTGGTCAGTACCTGTGTTCAGCACTGAGGATTAAAGCCTTATCAACTGGAGCAGAGTTGTCAAGATCCACGCTCACAGCCAGATTACAGGTTGTGATCCGTTAATAAGTTCATTCACTGCAGATCAAAATGAGATTTATTCATTACACCGACCCCAAGCACACCTTTCTGTCCCACTTACATTTACTTTGCCCTATTCTCTTATGATCTGCTCAGACCTATACAGAATTATCGCAAACACTTTTTGATTTTAAGCACTTCATCTGGTCACACTGTCAGGTCTCTGCTCTCTCTTCTTCACTCACAGTATTTCAAAAGGCCTGCATCTTTTCATTCTTTTGATCCCACCATTTGACTCCTCTAAACATCACGTCTGCTTGTCTTCTTTCTCCTCCCGCACTCGCTCGAGTTGTTGTGTTATTCTTGTCTTCCCCTCCTTACTCTCATGTCTCTCATCCCGCACTCTCTTCCTGCTCGTTCAGGCCATGTTGTCCCAGCCGGTTATCCCTTTTCCCGCTCTCTCTCTTTTCCTCCCGCGCTCTTTCCCTTGTGATAAATGAGGCTGTCTGTTGGGTGCAGTTCATATTTACTGAGTAGGGGAGCGCACACTGTCAGTCTCCCTCACCCTCCACATCTCTATCCCTGTGCTAAACAGACACCCAGAGCCAAAGGTTAAGATAAGAGGGTGGACTGGGGAGAAGAAGTAAGGAGGAGAAGAAAGGAGCAGTTGTGGATTGTAGATTTGGGGATATAAGGAGAGCTAGTGCTAGAAGCCACACAGCAGATTAAAAGATGTGCGCAGTGACTCTAATCGAAAATGAGATGCTCCTCATTCTGAGTTTGACAGCACTGACCTAACTCGTTTTCTGTGCTAACCAGCCTCCCCTAAGCAAAACTCACAGCATCATTTCTCCGTCTTTTGTGCGCCTGAGTTTTCAGGCACATTTTGTGCACTTAATACGTGCCAAGAAAGTACCATGACCAAAAGAAGAAGAAAAAAACCCTAAAATACACAGTTTCATCTACGCCTACATAAACCATCCCTCACGCACGGCTTGTGTTGTTCGCAGGGAGTGGAAAGTGGTGATTTGACCTCTGTTGTAACCCTTTCATGAATGAGAGAAGTGGATTTGGGCTTGGCTGAGCCCAATGGGACACAGACGCAGCCGCCCTAAAGCCCCCTGAAGACCCCGAAAGCCGGCGGCTCTTCCCACACACTGACCTCTGAGGCCAACAAGCACCAAAACCACTGCAGCGAGACGACACTGTGACACCGGCTCACCAAAGCCAACAATGTGTTCCTTCAGCAAATTGACAAGAGTATTGAGAGAAAATATGGAGAAAATTGGATTGTTGGAATTACATATAAAAAAATTGGTGATAGGAAAAAAATGTGCAAGAGGGCTCTTATTTAATTCAACATTGAAGTAATTCAATTTCAGAGTATTCTAGAGATGGTCAGTCAGAAAAAAGCCTGTAAATAAGGGTATTAGAGTTTCAGCACTGACCGTTGATGGAGCATTTTACAAAAGAACATAGGTCATACATAAAAGAGGTTAAAGATCAAACTATGATCTCAGGAAATAAGTCAACACATTTGTTAGCATAGAATGTAGCGAACTAAAGGCTGGACTATACTAAATGACTTTTGCACAGATTTTCACCCTGATTTGTCTAGTTGCCGAAAGTCTGCAGATTTTGGGCAGTCGGAAAATCGCTTAGTGTATAATGGGCACAGACCTTATAGCTTCGGACTATGATTCCATCCATTCAGAGGGTCTCAAGCATGTTTGATACTGTATATTGAGCTGAGTATATATTGAGTATATTTAGAACACACTTTTTCATCAGGAGCATGTTTCTGCGTGAGTTGTTTTGCATTTGGAACTACTCGAAAGTCTGGTAGTGTGTAACCTCAGTCGTTTAGTGTATGATGTTCAGTTTTTACGTAACTATATACAATATTGGCAAGTGTATGATGCCTATGTTTTAAAATCTCTTCAGATTTAGATTCAAGTCGTGTAGTTTTCATTTCCAACCTTAAAGTTGGCATGAAACGGAAGTTTGAAATAGTATTTTCTTTCATATTGTGATATATATCTGGAAAATGTAGGGTGGGACATGATTTCGTCTATCAGGAATTAACTGGATCATTGTGGTTTGCTATTGCTGTGATCTCACTTGAGTGACAGGTTGCCCCGCCCTTGCGCCAGTAAACAAGTCATCAGAGAAGAGATGTCTTTGCAAGAGAGAGGGGGGAAGAGTTATTTTGATTAAAGATTACGAGATTATACATTTTTATAAAATAAGGATGTGCACGGATAAATCATTTATACAAAAAATATGGCAATATTCTATAAAAAAACAAGAATTGTCTATTTTGATTTCATGGTGACTTTAAGAGCCCGGTCACGTAAACAGCGGTTTTGCGTTTAAAAACACGAGACGCAGCGCAAAAAAAAAAGAAAAAGAAAAGTCGGCTCCTTTAAACCATAGCCCTCGTTTGGGAGATCTCGAAATGTGGGTATCTGCAGGTTGGAGTAATGGGCGTGACAAAAGTTAAGGGGCGTGCCGAAATCCGAACGCCCCTACCTTTTGGCACACCCATTACTCCAACCTGAAGCTACCACTGTCTCGAAAAATTCACGAGTCGGGACAGCCAAAGAGGTCCGTCTAGAGCATGTTTACATGCAAAAAAAATATGTAAAAGCAGCACAGCGGAACACAAATTCTGTGTAGAAAAAGTTTGATTTTATAATCACAATTTGACACGAAGACAAGGGAGTAGCGCAAACAGAATGACATGTTACGCATTAGAAGCCGTTGTGCTTTTTCACTTGTTTGTGTGAAATAACCCAGGAGGCTGTCTCACTGTGTGATGAGTGAGAAACACAGGAGACAGATGGCACCAAAGCACATCCTAATTCCCAAAAGCACACATTGACAGATATCTGTTTCCCCCTGGTGCTCCAAAGGAGGAACTGCTACCAAATTGAAATGTGTGTTGCAATTTATAAAAATTTAGTTTCTATAGAGGGACTTACATAGCCAGTACCATTCAAAAGCAGTATTTGCAGAGTGTATTCAAAAACTCAAAAATGTTACCCATGTTACAGTCTCCAATGGTCATTACTCTCCGTACCCTGTAAGACAAGAAAATCATGTGAGGGGGAAAAAACCTGTCACATAATCTGTCTCAATTTTCCAAATCTATTCATTTTGTGCGTGGCTCACCTCCCTATCACCCAATCTTTAGAAGCCGCGCTTGTTCTGACAATTATTATTATACTACAGCAACAGAGAGAATTAAAACACGCTCCCTTCCATACATCTCCCTGACCCTCCTCTCAGACAAGAGGCTTGCTAAATGAAAAATGGACATGCTTTAAGAAGTATTGATTCCAGCTTTAAACAAAGGTAGACTCAATATTATTTAGCCCTAAATACATCTTTGTTATCTGTGTTGGTGCACCAGTCACGCTGCTGTCCTCGTAATCGCAGACATAAAAATAATAGGGCTATTCCCCCAACATTGACTGAAGCAGACCTGTTCGGGCCCTTTGACCAAGTGATCCATCTATTGGCTTTAAGCGTTTGCACAGACTGCGACAATGCTTTGGTAGTCTCTGCACAAGCTGAGAAGGAAAGGCAAAAAGACAATGTTTTAGACAAAATGGCCATGATTAGTATATTGTATTTTACTCTTTATTTAAGATAAGACAAATACAGTTTCAGATGCACAGTTCAAGCCAATACAATGATGAAACCACTGAGTACATTTTAGTGAGCACAAGTCATATATTTCTAAATTAACAGAAAAATTATGAACTTATATCATAGAGCTTCATACTGATTTTTATATTACCGTACATCAGTATGACCAAGTTATCAGTGCTTCAAGCCATAAACTTATCTTAACTAGCCACGATAATAATTATTAAATTATCTTACATTTGAAATACTTTGGCATTGAACAGTAACAATAAAATTGAAGGATTTTAGGATCAACTACAACAATAAACTGTAAAATAACCAACCCATTACAGTATTTACTTGATGAAAATTCAACACACAAAGGTAGATATACAGTGCCCTCCATAAAGCATTAGGATAGTAAAGACAAAATTGCTTTTTTGCTTTACAAAAGGCATCTGAACATATTAAAAGATGAATACGAGGCAAAAGTGCATGTCACTTTTTTACTAACACAACTGCTTTTACACTTAGTTGGCAACATGTTAAAACAGAAATAAAACATTCTGTACCTTTGCCTTGTTCATCTTTTAATCATATTTTCAGATGACTCGAGTGCTGAGCAAAAAGAGAAATTTTGACCTCAATTTATAGATGATGCAGCCTTTAAATACTTCCATCATAAAGCTCATAGATTATTATTATTATTATGCCACAGCATTTTTTTAATATATATTCTTGTTCATTGTTATGAACCAACAGTGTCTTCAAATGGTTAAATATGAACTTTAAATAATTTTACAATTTAATCTACAGTGCTGCCAACACCTTTAAATAGATACATTGAAGCCAAAGCACTGTTTTTCTGGTTCTTTTTTTTTTTCCAGATTTAATATCCAAACTAACAAAAAATAAATGTAAGGCATTCATTCTATTCATTTAATGTCTCCAATGGAGTTGAGCATGCAAAATAACTATATGCTAAACCTTTAAAGGGATAGTTCACCCAAAAATGAAAATTCTGTCATCATTTACTCGCCCTCAAGTTGTTCCAAACCTGTATGAATTTCTTTCTTCAGCTGAACACAAAAGTAGATATTTTCTAGATTATATGTAACCAAACAGTTGGTGGACCCCACTGATGGAGCCCATGAACTGTTTGGTTACATATAATCTTCAAAATATCTACTTTTGTGTTCAGCAGAAGAAAGAAATTCATATCATACAGGTTTGGAACAACTTGAGGGCGAGTAAATGATGACAGAATTTTCATTTTTGGGTGAACTATCCCTTTAAGGGCAGTCCAGAAAGGAAGACTATGCACCTGGATTCAGCTACTTTCAAGAAGTAAACTCATTTCCAATTCATCAATAAACACCCAATCCATTTCCCCAAATGAAACAGAAGTGATGCAGACTCCTTATCCTCATATATGCTTTTCCATGTGTTGAGAAAGATGGTGTGAGCGAGTGAAAGTGCGGAGACACCGCGGGCAGCTGTAAGGCCTCTCGCCCGTGTGCGTTTGCTTGTGTAACTTCAGGTGCTGGGGCAGAAGAAAACTTTTCCCGCACTCCGTACACTTGTAGGGTCTGTGGCCCGTGTGACTGCGCCTGTGCTTGCCGAGGTCGCCTGAGTTGTTGAAGCGACGGTCGCAGTCAGTACAGGCGTAGGGTTTTTCCCCCGTGTGTCGCCTCATGTGTTTGGTCAAATCGCCGGACTGGGCGTAGCTGGAGCCGCACTGCTCGCAGCGGTATGGTTTCTCGCCAGTGTGCGTGCGCATGTGGTTCTTCAGGTGTTGGATACGGACGAACCGCTTGCTGCAGACGTTACAGTAGTACGGCCGCTCGCCCGTGTGAATGCGCAGGTGTTTCTTGAGCACGTCCTCCCGTGTAAATGTCTTTGTGCACTCTCTGCACTGCAGCATTCGCTCGGAGTTGTGCGCTCTTTGGTGGACCTTCACGTACCTTAGAGCAGAGAATGTTTTGCCGCAGTCGGGGCACGGAAATGCTTTATCTTTGGAGTGAACGTCTTGATGGATACGAAGCGTCGATCGGTGGCTGAAACTCATTCCGCATTGGGGGCACTGGTATGGCCTTTCCCCCGTGTGGGTTCGCAGATGGCATCTAAGGTGGCCCATCCTGGCGAACTCTTTATCGCATTCGGGGCACTTGAACGGCCGGATCCCTGTATGGATGACTTTGTGCTTCCGCAGACTCCCCATATCAATGAACCTACGGCCGCAGTCTTCGCAGACGCACGGCTTCTCGCCCGTGTGAGTACGTTTGTGTATCGTCAGACATTGAAGCGTAGAGCAGTTCTTTCCACAATCTCGGCACAAGAAGCCACGGTCCGTGCAAACAGGTTCGTCGACACCCACTGTGGGTTTCTTCTCATCCTCTTCGTGGCAGTGATGTGGTCCGAGACCCCAGACTCCGGCAAAGCTTTTACCGCATGCGGCACAGCTAATATGTCCATCTTTACACACCGTGGCTAAGCCATGGCATCTGCGGCAGTGGTTTTGCAGGTTACCGATGTAATCGAAGCTGCGATCACACTGCGGGCAGGTGTAACGTTTTCGGGTGGGTTTGGGCGTGGGTAGGTGGACCTTGCGCATGTGGGTCTCCAGCTGCCTCTGAGAGAAGAACCGATAGTGACATGACGAGCAGCTGAGCATCCCAGAGGATATTTTAGAGCAGTTGTAGACTTTGTGTTTTTTTACCCAAGCCAGATATTCACCTTGATGGCACCATTTGAGGTGTTTGTCCAGGTATGTAAACTCAGTGAAAGTCACAGTGCAATGGGGGCAAGGAAAAACCACAGAGGAAGAAGCTGTAAAGGGAAAAAGAGACAGAAAAAATAACTCGAATGTCAAATGTCAAGTCTTCTTAGGTTTAGGTTTAGGTTATGATCTCAAATCAATTAACAGGCAGTGTTATTAATGTTAATGAAAACAACAACAAAAACATAGACTGAAATCAACGCATATATAACTGGAAGACCTGTGTGGCGAGCAGGACGAGGTCGAGGGCCGTGGGAGAACGGCGCGAGGCCGGTGGCGTGATTGTTAATGAGCAACAACATTTTATGTTGTGTTTTGTTTGGCCAGCAGTCGTCCGCGAGGGGCTGCTGGCTTATACTTTCATTTTGTATTTGTTTTATTTTATGTTATTAAAAATTGTTGAACGTTCGCCGGTTCCCACCTCCTTCTTCCCACCTCCTTCTTCCCATAACATCTGAACCTCGTTACACTGGTGCCGAAACCCGGGAAGAAGGAGGAACACGCTGTCGGAGAGCCCTCGCTGCTGAGGGGGATCGCGGTGCTGAGGAGGTCGGGCAGCACGAGGGAGCCATGGCCGCCGATTGTTGCCCGAGGCGATGGTGCTGGAGCGATTTAACAGCAGGTGGGACGGAGACCTCGCTGCCATGCTCCTGGGTCGAGGAGGGGCGCCTGCCGTCGGAGAGGGAGCGGAGGAGTTGCTCCCGTTCACCGTGGGCTGGAGCCTGTTGCCGTCGGCCATGATGGGGGTGGAGCAGGGAACGGAGGACTCGCTGCCGACTGCCCTCGCCTGGAGGAGCCATCGCCCTCCGCCAGGAGGCGGAGGAGTGTCGAGCCATCCCCCAACGGATGTCTAGTACCATCGCATGGCACCGCGAGTGAGGACCAAGCGGCAGTGTGTCCGGGAACCGGACCAAGATTTTTTTTTTCTCTCTCCCCTCTCTCGTATCTGTCGCTCCTCATGCTTCCGTCTCCTTTTCTCTCGGCTCGTCTATCCATACCCCCAGGTGCCATGGCCACCGTGACCGGTCCCCCCCGCCTGCGAGGGCCGATGGGGGTATGTGGCGAGCAGGACGAGGTCGAGGGCCGCGGGACAATGGCGCGAGGCCGGTGGCGTGATTGTTAATGAGCCACACCTGCGCAACGCAACGGTCTCGTATCTCTCACGGAGGAGCGGAGGCATAAAGGAGGAGCGACGACAGTGAAGATCGAGAGAGGAACAGGCCTGATTTTATGTTATGTTTTGTTTCTGTTTTGTGTAGCCAGCAGTCGTCCGCGAGGGGCTGCTGGCTTATACTTTCATTTTGTATTTGTTTTATTTATTATTAAAATCTTGAAATCTTCGCCGGTTCCCGCCTCCTTCTTCCCATAACATCTGAACCTCGTTACAACCTGAAACTAAATCCAATACTTTTTCTTAACTCAAAAACTATCTAAAATAGCACTACATTTTTTGTCTATATTTTTTAAATAAATGTCACATTTATTTATTTGTATTCATCATTATCCAATTATTGTGTAACTTCATTATAAAAAGTTTTTACAGTCGGTATCCATTTTTGATACAGGACAAATTGTATTACCCACCTTCATTAAACCATATGCCACTAACAGGAAGTGTTCACAGTCAGAAACTAAATGAAAATGTAGATTGAAATAAAAACTTGCATAATTGAAGGAACCGAAAATAAATGAATATACATCCATTAACTTTTATTTAAAAAAAAAAAAATCTAAATAAAATGTACATTACAGTAATAATCGATTTTTATTTAATTTCATTATATCAAATTAAATATTTACATTATAGGTATCCGGTTTTTTTTAGCTCTAAAAAAACACTGAAGAACATTAAACTATACTATCACCCAAACTAAACTAAAATGAAAGGACAAAAAAAACCAACCAGAAATTAAAACAAAACTAACAAAAAAAAACAGTATTTCTTTAGAATTTTCACATTTTGCTTTTATGTAAACTGTGCAAATTATAAGACCAAGGCTTATTAAATAAATCAATTACCTGTGTTTTTCTCCAGGCCAGAAGCACCCACAGAGATTTCATCTGGTGTCTCAAGCTTCACTTCCTTCCAACTCTCATTTTCCTCCTTCACAATCAAGGCAGACTCTCTCTGCAGCACTTCATAAATGCCAGGCTCAGTTTTGACCTGAAAACTGGGTGGGTTTAAGGGGACATAGTCTGGTTCTGTCTTTGGAACGACTGCTCTGAAAGCAGGAGGATGAGGCTGTTGCTTCTGTTGTTCAGATGACACTGTTAGGACTCCCAAAGCCTCCAGCTCTTCCTGTTCTGGTCTCATCTGTGTGACCTCAGGACAGGCGTCCATAACACAGTCCTGAGTGTCATTAGATGTTTTGGTTTTATCCGTGTCGATACTGATGCCATCACTATTTGATGGCAATGGCTCTTTATCAACATTTTGCAGCTGTTTGGCTATTTTCTTTTGTCTGGATAACTTTCTTTTCTTTAACATGTTAGCTTTCATCTTCTTGTGCACAACCTAAAGAAATATTTGGGAAGGACAATAATATAGTCTATAGTTTTAGTTACAAGAAATACCTGGAATAGCATAAATACTACGATATTATTACTATTATATGTACAATTTCTTCTTTTTAATTATCACCCAATCTATTAGGTTGATGTTTCTGTTCTCTAATCTCAAATTCCAGTAGGAAGTAACACATATGGATTTGAACAAAATTTAGCTGGAAAATCTATGTTTTGGAACACGGTAGCTGGTTAAAGGTGGTCAAACAGTCTATACAAACTGGTCTGTCTGGTTTCCCATTATGGCCAAGCAGGTGTTTAACTGGTCTCTCAGTCAGACCAGCTGAAAGGTGTGCATGACTCCTCTAAAACCAGCCAAGAAGACTGCCTGACCAGGCTGGGACACCTACTAAAACCAGGAAACCACCTCAAGCTAGTTTATGTTTTCTAAGCAGGCATATTTAATCATGGAGGTTCATATAGCTAATGTGACAGTAACAGTATTAGCTGGTTGCAGACATGCAGATGTTAACATGAGGGTCGTATTGACTTAAGTAAAGCACAAAATCATCTTACCGCAAATACTAAACCTTTAGTTAATCGGTTGCAATTAGTCGGCAATGAAAATCCGATTGTGTTGGTTGTCTAAAGGATTTTTGACACTGACAGTCTTTAGTGTACAGCATCCTACACCTTAAACAGGCGTCTTGTACATCCATCCACCCCTAAAATGACACTAACAACACGTCTAATTATACTAGGAGATTGGGAGTTTAGCTCTCGAGGACATAACGCAGTTTGCGATTGCGTCCAGGTCTGAAATACGTTAACACGATACTGGTTTAGTTATAGATAATATCAATGTAAAGCCAGCAACGATGATGCATTTCAAAATAAGGTAAACGCGATGGCGGTTTTCAAAATAAAAGTTCGTGAACGCTTGTTTTGTATTTATTCTCTCTTTAAATAAAAAAAGACATTTAAAAGACTTGTTCCCAAATAAAATAAATTTTAAACTTAATAAAATAAAAAATGATAATAAAAAAATGCTTTCAGGTCAATTTCACACCGTTTTCTATGCATCTAATCATAATAGAACCTAATCAATATATTACAGGAAAGATCACTTGTGTAAGAGACCCAATTTTAATCATACCTAAAATTTTATCAAATGTGCAGTTACTGTTTTTTCTTCCACACAGCAGTGTGTCATTTTTTTTTTAGAGCACATCTCATTTTTATAAGAAGAAAGTTTTAAATCAGGAACAAAACCAACACAACAAACCCTGTTAACCATTAATGGATTATATTTTATTATGGACAAACTGCTGTTAAGCATCAAAGGCATGTGCATCAACCACAGTAAAAACTGTAAAAGCATTTGGAAATGACTGAACAGAACACAAAACTTTCTTTACCATATTCAAACCTGGTTTAATGACCAAATAACAAAATAAACAACTGTCAGCTGAAGATTGCTTTATCCCTTGTGCTGCAGCATCTGATATAAACATATGGCTTCTCCTGTTATGTTTCTATTATTTACATTAAATAACCATTATGTCAAATGAACACTTTTCATAGTATCTTATAATTCACCAGGACGCTTCAATTCTCAAAAAAAAAAAAAGACAAAAAAAAAGACAAGGGAAAAAAAAAAGAGAAAATGTAACTTTCTACATCAACCTACATAAATACCAGTCAGAACACAGTGGAAAGTAACAGTCCATCCTCAAAACAAAAAACAACAAATAAGCAAAACAATGGTGACTCCATATATAATAAATGGCAATACAAACGCCAATAACCATCATACATGTAAAGAGCTAACTGTAGTGTTTTCTTCTCTTTATTTTATTTCCTTGTAGTGTCTCACCAGGAGCATACTATATTTTAGGTTTAAAATTTCCATTGCACTTTTTGTTCAACAGATCTCATACATCGGGCTAAACATGACCCATCAGAATGCTGCAGCAACCCATATTGGGCAATAAATTGAATTGATTATCCCATTGTCCTACAAAGATTAAAGTAATATGAAATATTCAACAGTTGTTGAAACCGAAGTAGTGTAAGGAGGGAACAGAAAAAAAATAGAAAATAGTATCCTTCATTTCCTACACAATGTGATTTTTTTTGTACTTTTCTGCATGGGCCCTTGGTTAATCAGCTATGAATGAACTCACAATTGCAGCACTACAGATTAATGGCCTAAACTCAAATAGAAATTCCGTTCAAAATTTAATACAAAACGTCTTGTCAAGGCAAAGTGAGTAAAGGCATTTCATCAATGCAAACAAAAAGGACATGTAAGCTGTTGATTGACAGTATGAAATGCATCTTCAGTCTGAATGAATATGTATAAAAAAGCCAATGGCTCACCATGAAACTATTGACCTATTGACTAGATTCAAATCTGCTATATTACAGGAAGCATCAATTACAGCCATGACAAAATACCAGTAACAAAAGCATTACAACTAAATTTTTTTACAACATCTGTCCACGTTTTTTGCAGACAATCAGTTTTGCACATTCAAGCGGACATGTTGCACCGTCTCTTGGTTTGGATGGCAGTTCAGATTGTCACACGAAAATATAAAGCACATTGGTTCAGCTGCAAAGACAACTTTTTCACCGGTTGATATGTCATGCCGTTGTCATCGTCTTGTAGAGCTAATTTCAGTAGTGTATATATAGGACGCAGTAAAGCATGGAGATAAAAGTAGGGCATTGCATAAAGGTTGCTGCCTTAAGTCAATATAGGAGCTTGTTAGGAGTGATAAACAAGTAAACAACACTTAATTAATTACAGTATATGTACAAATCACATTTCCTATGATTTAGCTTTTTTCTCTCCTGTAATAAATACATCCCTTTTGTAGCCCCAACAAAGCAAACCAAAACGAAAGGGATAGTTTACCTTGAAAATGAAAATGGTAATTTACTCACCTTCATGTTATTCAAAACTTGTATGTTTTCTTCAGTGGAACACAACAGAAGATATTTTGGAATGTCTTAGTGTTCTTTGTCCATACAATGAAAGTCAATGGGAACCAATTTAATTTTCTTTTGCTGTCTTTCTGTTTTTTGACTTTCATTGCATGGACAAAAAAAGTCATTCCTGTAACAACATAAGGGTGAGCAAATGCTGACAGAATTTTCATTTTTGGGGTGAACGGTCCCTTTGAAATCTCTGCAACTTCCTTTGTCCTTCCTTGCTTATGAAAACTCCCTCGATTTTTTTTTTTTTTCCTTTTCAATATCTTTCTCCCACTCGTTTCCAATCTCATTACGTTCTCCTCACATGGCCATGGTGGTTAGATGCTGGTGGCCCAGCAAGCCTTTTCGGCCGCCCCCAGCACCAGGGTGCGTTCCTGCTCCACCATGTCCACAGTACTCCTGCAAATTCTGTCGCAAAGTGACGAGCGCCGAACCCAAGCAGGCCCGGTTGGGTGCAAGGATGCCTCCTGGCAGCTGTATGAGCACAGTGGCCACCCCTGCCATCCCGTCGTCTGTGGGCTCCAGAGTGATTGGTCCGACTTTGAAGGACGAGTACGAAAAACCCATGAGTTGAGAAAGGAAGGGGTCGGAACGGCAGAAATGCTGGTAGCTGCCATGCGTGGACGGATGATGGTGGTGGTGATGCGAGGTCGGGTTGGCCGTAGAGCTGGGCGCATAGTGGTGAGCATTCAGGTAGTGCAGGGGAAGGTGCTGTCCGTTGGTGCCTCCACTCAAAGCGAGATGGTGGTGGTGGTGGAGGTGAATGGTAGTGCCTGTGTTGGGGTCGTGTTTGTAGGACAAAGCCCCAGGTCGCCCCCTCTGGCCCATCACCATGCCACCAAGCTTGCCTGTCCGGACCTGGGCCAGGGATAGGGCGCTGCCCCCTCCGGCAGAGGGCAAGTAAACCAGCTGCGGCTCCTCGGGCTCCAGAAAGACGGTGAGTTTGGCGAACGGGCGAGAGGCCATCTTGGTCATCTCTTGAATGTGGCGTCGCTGCTCTCGGCGGAAGTCTAAGAACTGCTTGACTTTCCAGAGTAGCACGCAGACGGACAGGAAGAGGAAGAAGCAGGAGAAGAAGACAGAGAAAAAGACGAAGAGGTCAATGTGGGCCTGGTCCTGTCGTAGAAAGAGGAGGCCTTGAGACTCTCCGTTATGGGTCTCCGTGCCCACGCCACGTAGGGCGATATAGAAACGGCTGGACTTGAGCGAGTGCACTTCGTGTGGGAAGGTGATGACCACGCGGTCCCGTACACTGCGTACAATTAATACCGTCTGTGGCTTCCACACGGTGATGTAGGTTATGAGACCTTCGGTTCGTTCTTCCCGCACCTCACGATCTGTACCTTGAGACTTTGTAGACTGCAGAGTGCCGAGCAATGGCGACGAGGAGTTCGCAAACACCTTCATGGGCGACGGTGGGGCGAGAGGAACCTCCTTTTCTCCCCGTGAAGCGGTCGCAGAGGTGGCCTCGTCCTCAATCTTGATGGTATGCACGCCGGTCTGGCGGTCTACCTCCACAATGAAGGTGTCATGCGAGTTGGATACGTAGACCTCGACCTCTCCAAATGTAACGTCAATGGTGACACGGATATCCACGTTTGTGAACTTGGGCTGGGCAGAAAAGAACACTGTGCGGCCCATGAGCAGATTGCGGATGTTGGGCTCATGGAAGCAGTTGACCTGTGATGTGGGATCGAAGCAGCACTCACTGTCCACGTTGAACTGCCGGTAGCACTGCCGCCCATTTACTGGATTGCCATTGAATGAATCTTTGCACTTGGCGCACTATAAGCACAAATAGGATTAATGCATGCAAGGTCTTATTTGTGAAATACAGAATAAAATGTCATTGGTTGTAATGAATTGACCACTACCTGTTGTCTGTAACACTCTTTGCGGTCATTCTGTGGGCTGCTCAGACAGGATGAAGTTTCTGTGTTGTTCTGGCAAGGACAGCCAGTACCATCATGCTCATTACAGGTGTCTGCATGGGCGTTACACTGACATCTACAAACAAGCAATAGAAAAGAATGGAAGTCTAACTGGATCAGAAACTTTCTATTTTTTACAAAGTGACTTTTAAAAACCTTAAGATTGAGTCATTCTCTTATCTCTAACATGGTAGACAACTGGCAATTTTTTTTTTTAATTATCTGTAAACATGCGCTAACTTTTGGCAGTCAAATTAAATAATAGCACCTTTCACACAGGGTTTTTACTGGTAAATTGTTCTGATAATTTACTGGAATTGCTGTGTGAAAGGGGCTAATGAGTCAAGGGATATGCTTATGTAAGGCTGGAAAAACTGGAAGAGAGGGCTATTCTCATAGAAAACAAAGGAAATTAACATTTGAACTCTCTCTTGTGAAGTTCTCACCACCATTCGAGACGCAAG